CTCCCTCTTCTTCTCTCTCTCTCTCTCTCTCTCTCTCTCTCTCTCTCTCTCTCTTCTCGCTTGTCTTTAAAATCACAAAAGACCCAATGTGACGACTATCGATTTTTCACAAAAAAGACAACGATATACGGAAAAAGCAATTCTGAAAATTCACGAAGCAACAAGGATAATTATTATTTTCCTTGTTTTTTTCTTTTTTCTTTTACAACAAATTGCTTCGTGCAACAATTTTTGAGTTTTTTTAATAGAAGCGACATAAAACTCAATACCTACAGCAACTTCTTTCTCTTTTTCTCAACTACGATCTAGTTTAAGAGTCAGAGACACGCTGAACAAAAGATTGAAACTTACGTTTCTTTCATGTGTTTTCCTTTTTTATGATTTTTTTTTCTTTTTGTTTTGTTAAAAAGTATTGCAACACGGAAGGAAATGGTTAAGACAAACGGAGAAATACTTCTTTTATTAATCGATATAATAGGGCGATAGTCGTCCCTTCGTCGAGGGGCCTCTCGTTTGTTATTATTTTTCTTTTGTTTTTGTATCTGGCTGATCTTTAGACGTTTCATCGTACAAAGTGTATTTTAGCACCAATATAATAATTTTATTTAGAAGAATAGAAAAAAAAAAAAAACAAGAAAACCGACTGAATGAATCACGTGACACAACCTAATTTTATTTTGAAAATATTATTCTGATAATTAGATGAATATTACATCTCTATTTTGTTTTTTCTTTTTTTATGATGATTCATAAACACATGGCATAAATAATTGATTTGCGATATAGTTTGAAACATATTTAATAAGGAATAATTGGTTATATTCACGTGAAATTGGACATAAACACACAGTACTACTTATACTTCATTGCATTATTTATGAATCAATAGACTAATATACTTAATAATTATTAGACTAATTATTAACCTAGGATTGTGATCACCCATCAACGTCAGCCATTACCTAAGCAACATTCCCCCTTTTTTCTTTTTAGACATTACGAACGAAACAGAGAGAGAGAGAAATATAGATTATATACATATAAAAAATTTTCTTTGTTTCTTTCTTTCTTTCGCTCTCTCTCTCTTGATTCAAAAACCCAGAACTCCCGATGAGACGTCTCAGAACATGACCAAGACTGCACCAAGAATTCTCATATTTTTTATTCCTAAAGCTAAATCTAAAAAAAAAAGAAGAAAAGAAAAAAGAAAAAAAAAAGAAAAAACAAACACTTCCATACACGAATTTTGCATTTTTTTTTTTAAGTAAATTAATAAACATAAGATAAAATAATAATAAATCGTAATAGATAATAATAAGGTAATAAGTAAGCTGGCAGCAGTTAGAACCAAATATATTCTCGATTAAAACTCTCGCTTAGATGACAATCTGACATGGCACTAACATCCAAAAATTTTCTCAAAGCATTCGTACACGCGGCACGCACTCTAATTTCTATTTCTTTGTTTGTTTTTCTTTTTTTGCTTTTCGTTTTAATCTTTCTTTTCTATTTATGTTTCATTCTTCCTTCGGAAAATTTCGTCTATACTTTCGGCAATCCTATATATTTGCATATCATGTACAAACCAATTTTTTTCTTTCAAATTTTCATTCTCTCATGTTTTTCTTTTCTATCTCTCTCGCAAATTCATACTTTCATTCTTAACTGTTCTAACACATTTACTACAGTTTCGTTCTCTCTCTTACTCTCATACTCTTTCATACTAATTTCCTATTCCCTTTCGTTCACAATCCTTACATTCATCCGTCTCGCCCCTCGACGTGCAATCAGCTGCCAGATAATTTATCTCGATTTTCTCCGTTTTTTTTGTTTTATATTCTGTTTTGTTTATATAGTTATATAACCATTTTCCCAACGATCTACGCACTAAATAGTTCAAATTTTTTGCACTTTTTCACCAACAACAACTGGATTGTTGCGCCGAATCTCTTGAGCGCCCATTTCTCTATAATCGAATTTGCAATCATGCTTGTCACTGTATCGATGCACAGAGCAGAACAGTCCTCCACAACGACATTCAAATCCTGTTAAAAGATCAAATTGTAAATTAGTCAAATTAATTTAAAATATTTTCCTCAGATTATGATATTACATACCCGTCAGACCAACTTTTTTGCGACACACGGCGCAACGATTTTTCTTCTTCTTAGATTCTTTGTCAGTCTCTTTGCCATCAAAGCAATCATCTGCATCCCCACTACTCACAGATCCTTCTGCTACCGCTCCACTGCTTACACCTACTTCATTTTCTTGATCCTCCCTATTTATCTGATGAGGAACAGAAATTAAGAATATATAAATTTACAATTACTAAATAATACATTATTATTTTTATAAAATTAAATCATATTAAAACTTTATTAATAATTTTTAATTTTCTTTTTTTAATTATATCCAAATTTAAAATGATACTACTAGTATTTTGATAATTTATTTTTGTAATTTTTATATAAATTTAATTTATGCAAAACTTACTTCTTTGGGATTGGGTAGATCTGTTGTTGATTGAGGTATGGTAGGAATGGTAGGTTGGGCTGTATTTCCTGTAGCTGCAGGACTACCAAAACCGCCCTGCAACGTACCAGCGTTACCAGAGACGGTCTGTGATGTTGGTACAGTGGCAGCTGATACAGGAGGTTGCTGCTTCTTTTTTAGATTTTCTTTATAACAAAGAGAACAAAGGCCATCTGTGGCTGGAGAGCCATAAAATCCACAACCGCTGCGACATAGAGCTTGCATAGGATTAGATTCTCGCTCCATTTTCTTGTTTATTCCAATAGAACTTTAATGATTGAACAAGTTCTTATTTTTATCCTATTTGCAATTACTCGAAAGAATATCGAGCAAGTTGCAATCAACTAAATAGGAGATAGTTAATCTTGTCTTGCCACAGCTCGCTCTCCAGTTGATCCTTCACGACCGCGTGTCACCATACATTCACCTATTAAAAATACTTATTTAGTATTTCTTTTTATGATATTATTTAATATTAATATATAATATAATATAAATAGAATATAATAATATAATATTAAATTTAATATCATTCAGCAAAACTTAATAAATAAACTAAATCTTTCCACTAAAGAAAAAGAAAACAATGATACATAAAATAATTTTTTTATCCAAAAAAAAGACAAAGCACAAATGTTATAATATATATTCTTAAAAACTTTGACATAGGTATGCAATTATTAATTAATTAATGAAAACCGTTTCCAATGCATTAAATCTCATTGACAGTTTTAAAAAAATAAGAAAAATATAATTATCACTGCACCATAATAGACACATTACATTAGATGAGAAACATCGTCAACCACATCTGTACTGCCTCAAAGAAATCAGATGCACAGATTTTCATGACGAATTTTCATTTGCACACACACGCGTATATGTATATATATATATATATATATATATATATATATATAC